AGCGGAACCATCTGGAAGGACGTGAACGCCGGCACAGGTGGACGACGACAACCGCTTTCTGGGTGACAATTTAGAGTTCCGAGTTGCGCGACGGTGTTCGGATTCGGAAGAAGGCGTGCCGGGGTAACATTCGACATGCTGGCGAACCAGGAGTGGGCCGAGCCCGCAGCAAAGACCACAAGAACCGAGGAAAGCTCACGCGTGAAGCTCGCCGGCGGAACGCGTCGAATCAGTCCGACCGGCGCGACAAGCACGAGCGGTCGGAGCAGCAGAACTCCGAAAACCAGTCGAACCAGGCAGACCGACCGAACCGCCACAACCGGTCGTAAAAGCGGACCTCTGTTCGACCGGTCAAACACGTCGGGAAGAAGTGTTTCCGGTTGTGTCCAATCCCGACACGACCGAACCGTGACCCAAACGACTTGACCCGGAGCGCTCACTCACTTGACTCGTGCTCGAGCTCCTCTTCCGAGCTCGGTGGGGTTCGGTTGGGCCAATACGCAAGCGGCATCCGCTCCGCTCGGCTCGGGTGGTTCCGAGACGTGTGAGAGTTGGGCGAATTCTGAAGGACTGCGGACGTCCAACGCGCCCGTCGCTCCGAACGTCCAGGCGCGGCGGCGACGTCGACGCGCATGACTTCCGGGCGTCCGCGTTTCAAAATAAAAGCGATCCAGTCGGACTCACTTCCGGTTGCAGCCCCGTGAAATGCACATGATTCCATCCGCAGATTTGCTCCCGCGCGGTTGGATGGAAGCGTCGTGCCACTTTGGACCTCGTTCCATTTTGCTTGCGGGCACCTTGAAGGTCGCGCGATGTCGTTATGAACATCAAAGAAAGAAATAGCAAGCGGTGTCAGGTGACGTGACGCGCTCGTGAGCAAGGAGTAGTTTTGTTGGTCGCAAGGATGAACGAGAGGCGTTCGTTGGGGTTTTGTCAAGTTTTGCTGCGCAACGGAAACGAGCGTCTCGGCGGGTGGCGGGGAGCTGGTGGAGTTTCCTGTCCTCTCCTTTCCTTTCCTCGTCCTCGCCGCCAAAGACAATCACGAGGCCGCAGCCGGGAAACAGGAAGCGTCTGAGACAATATGGAGTCGGACATCAAAACAAAGTGAGGAAATGCCACCTGACCGGACGCCTCCGCGTCGACATAGCGCCATGTTCGCGTCACCTCGGCGACATGCTAGCATGACCCCGGTATGATGTTAGCATCACTTGGCCCTCATGTTGGCACCATGTGCCGCGTTAGCTTGACCTGGCGCCCTATTGGCGTCATGTTCGTTTCACCTCCGTGCCGCGTTAGCGCCAGCTTAGCGTCGCCTTAATTCAGCGTTTTTCAAACCCTGTGCCGCGAGACAGCGTCAGGTGTGCCGTGTGCGGTCTGTCGCCCGGCACAGTAATCGTGTAGGAGCCTTCCACACCGCTAGGGGGCAGCAACAGCGAGCCAATTGCCTCGCGTTAAGACGGGAGACGAGCGAATTTGTGACGCATGAATGCAGGACGACGGTGAAAAAGTCAAATTAAAAAAACAATAAAAATGAAAGATTATAAAACACTTTTTTCTTTGTGTTTATTGGATTCCAATTCAAGCTGTTTCTTCAACGTTAAAAAACGGTTATCGTAACAATCTAACACGCTTATTGTTAAAATAAGCTTTTTTGGCACATTTTTTCAAGCTGTTATAACGTCATTCTTCAATGTTAAAATAAGCTTTTTTGACACATTTTTAGCTCGTGGTGTGCCGTGAGATTTTTTTCAATGAAAGAAGTGTGCCTTGGCTCCAAAATGTTTGAAAAACACCGCCTTCATGACTTAACAGAGGAAGCCCTGCGGTCGTGATATTGGCTACTGTTTTCTAAGTCTTGAAAGTTGCTATCATTCCAAAGCTTGTAATTGTTTTTGGAAGAACAAACAGTGTTCTAGAGCAGTGGTTCTTGACCTGGGTTCGATCGAACCCTGGGGGTTCGATGAATCGGTCTCAGGGCTTCGACGGAGCCCCTGGCCCCCTGCGGTGGAGGTTAAGACACACCCGACTCAACGTGTCAATGAGCTATGACACGCCCGGTTGGCCATCACTGGCTGCAGATGGTCACATGACACTGCTTGTCCAATCAGTGCTGTGGGAAATGGAGTTCGCTTAGTCGTCGCCGTGCGACAGTCGTGATAGTACGTCGTACAATTAAAAAAAAAAAAAAAAAAAAGTATACTCATCTCTTGAAATTGTAGTTACTTTTTTCTGTTTTTAATAAATGTGTTTTTTAATACCTTGAATTTGTAAAAAAATAGATATATTTATTTTTCACTCATGAAGGGTTCGGTGAATGTGCAGATGAACTGGTTGGCTTCGGTACCTCTAAGAAGGTTAAGAACCGCTGTTCTAGAGTAACCTAATTCTCAATGCCCAAATGTCAGAACCGTCATGTGTCCCAAATGAAATGGCACGTTACTATTTGCAGTTTGGGATCAAATGGATTTCTTTTCTGCTCATCGCTTCGTCATGACTGGATTGGTTCTTCTTTGACCAACGTCGCTCAAGCTGTCGTCACCATTCACGCCACTGGAGGGAGCCTCGTGACGTCATCGCAGGCCACGAGGGATCCGTGAACTCCAGTGCCCGGATGTGGCCCCAACTTTTCCGCTTTCCGTCTTGAGCGAGAAGCGTCGCGTCGCCAGCACTGGCGGCACTGCCGGCACTGGCTCCGATGAGTTCTGCTGTACGAGCTGAAGAAATCTTGTTCTTCGATGACATTTATATTGAATTGAGTTGCAAACGTGCGGAATTCTCTCACGATTGTCTTGACTATAATGCCCCCATATTTAAATCGTACATAACTTGTTGAAAATAGGACTTCGGGGAGGGCTCTTTCAGCATAACGTACAGAAAACCCAGGTGGCATGAGAAAGAAAAAGAGAACGAGCGAGCGCCTTTCCTGTTCTGAATGGAATGAGACGAAAACGATCCCTTCCCTCGGTTCCGGAAGCGCTTCACCTCAACGTCAGCTCAGCGTGACTTTAGCACGGCGGTCCTTAACCTTGTTCGAGGTACCGAAGCCAACCAGTTCATATGCGCATTCAGCGAACCCTTCATGAGTGAAAAATAAAAATAGGATTTTTTTTTTTTTTTTTTTTACAAATTCAAGCCATAAAAAAACGCATGTTGTGGCAGTCAAAAGGAGCACGCACGATTGACTGTAAACACGTCTTTATTCCACGACTGCCAACAAGTGGATGTGAACAATTACAAATTTGCGCCCAAGACATTCCCATGAAGGGTTCGGTGAATGTGCAGATGAACTGGTTGGCTTCGGTACCTCTAAGAAGGTTAAGAACCGCTGTTCTAGAGTAACCTAATTCTGTGAGAAGCATGGTCCTAGTGTCCGCCACAATATATTCAAAACAGAAAAAAGTCAACACAATTAGTATCAAGTCTATGTGTCCCAATGAAATGGCACGTTACTATTTGCAGTTTGGGATCAAATGGATTTCTTTTCTGCTCATCGCTTCGTCATGACTGGATTGGTTCTTCTTTGACCAACGTCGCTCAAGCTGTCGTCACCATTCACGCCACTGGAGGGAGCCTCGTGACGTCATCGCAGGCCACGCGAGGGATCCGTGAACTCCAGTGCCCGGATGTGGCCCCAACTTTTCCGCTTTCCGTCTTGAGCGAGAAGCGTCGCGTCGCCAGCACTGGCGGCACTGGCGGCACTGGCTCCGATGAGTTCTGCTGTACGAGCTGAAGAAATCTTGTTCTTCGATGACATTTATATTGAATTGAGTTGCAAACGTGCGGAATTCTCTCACGATTGTCTTGACTATAATGCCCCCATATTTAAATCGTACATAACTTGTTGAAAATAGGACTTCGGGGAGGGCTCTTTCAGCATAACGTACAGAAAACCCAGGTGGCATGAGAAAGAAAAAGAGAACGAGCGAGCGCCTTTCCTGTTCTGAATGGAATGAGACGAAAACGATCCCTTCCCTCGGTTCCGGAAGCGCTT